TCGAACAATCACTTTGCCAGCTTTTATTCCCTAATCTTGAACATTACAATTGTGGGAGAAAATTCCGTTTATGCGCATGCCTAAAACGCCAATGAACACGGAGAAGTGTTTCTGCGCGTGCGTATATATGAAAGGTGTTCCTATCATATGGTTCGTACCACAATCATTATCTAGCAATTGCCATGTAAACATAGCCTAAATTTCCCTCATCAAGCATGCAGGGGAAAATTAGAACTAATTTTGCCATGTTTTAGTAATGAGGTAAATTAGTGATTAATCGTACCTCGCGAGACAAAGGATTTCGAGGCAACTATGGTATTACTATATGAGTAAATTCTTAAACACGTCCGAATTTATCAATATGATAAATTTGCGGCACCTATACCCCTAACCCCAACCCTAACCACTAACCCCTAAGTATTAACCCCTAACCACTAACCCCTAACCCTAATCTAACTTTTTTGTTTTTAAACTTTTTTAAAACTTTTTTAAACCATTTCTTTGAAAATCTTGAAAATCTTTCATTGGATTTACTTACATGACGCAGATTAGTATTTACAACATATAAACTAGCTAGCTTGTCTAAAAGGGCATACGTAAATGTGTTCAGGAAACAAAAGGGGCACCTTCGATGTTAATATAGTATTTACAGCAACATCAACTTGTACAAAAAGAGCACTTTTCATCACAAAAATGGCACTTTGGTCCTTTGACACCCCACCCCCCCGTTCCTACGCCCCTGCTTTTTCACACCACACATATCTTCATTCTTGCCGATTTGTGTAAATTGTGTCTTGACATTGTTCATCCGATTCCACAGAGAGATCGAGTGCATAAAAGGCCGAAAAGTCCAAGAGTGTCGAGTTTGACATATGCTACTTCACAAACGAACAGAGTTTACCACCGTGGTATCAAGACGGTGCTGCGGGTTTCCTTTGCGTTTTGCTCATGAATTATAAATGAGTTTGAGCATAGATTTTTAAAGGAATTTGAACAACCTTTGTAACGTATTTTTCTACCTTATTTTATGACTTTATTTGTCCTGATGTTTGAGCTTTCAATTGTTATTGATTACAAAATTACTAACAAAAATCGGTTAGCCAAACTGAAATTGCCATAGAAATTTAGACTGTGTGAACATAGCCAGAGGATGTATCTATACATGGAAATTATGTCAATATTTTTTGTTGCTTTTCTAAGGAAACAAGTATGGAAATAGACTTCTGTATTTTGCAATTGCTGTTAATACGACTCTTGATCCAGCGACATTGGGATATTCAAGCGGTCTACCAATCTATAACAACTGGGAAAACTTTGTACAACGAGAGGTATATCATTATGCTTTAATTAATTAAATCTGTGGGTACCATTATCCAGGCAATAGTATATACGGTCGAAACAGAAGAATATAAATAACCATGGATTAATAAAAACAATGGATTTAACTATAAAGTATAGTCTACCGGGTGTCCCAAAAAAAAGTACTCCGGTTTGATTCGTAATAACTTCTAAACAAGTAAAGCTTTTAATGAGAAATAACTTGCATCAAATAGAGGAATGACTAACTTAGATTTTGTTATATTACAGTTGTATTTCACTAAAAAATTCACAGGGATATTAACAGGGCCGCCCAGAGGTTGGCGGGGGCCCGGGGCAAATTTATTTTAGGGGGCCCTACCTAAAATAATTTTTCCCGAAAAATTTTTTCCGGATATTATTTTGGCGACCTCCCCCCCCCCCCCC